GATGTTATTGGGAGTTCATTGTTCCGTGAAAAGATTGGTCCAAAAAAATAAACCCAAATATCCCTCATTTCTGAGACACCAGAAACCTCTGGAAACGTATCCTTTTCTTTAACTCTTGCAATACTTCAACTTCTCTTGATCCTCAGTTCTCTTTCCCTTTTTTCCCCACTTGAAAAGGGAAAGAAAAAGAGGAAATTTTCGTTCTCTTTGGCATGAGGGCATATTAGGCAAAACCAATATAATCTCGTCCCACAGGTATGAAAAACAGTGAGATTGAAAGTCCTCATTTACAAACCTTTGTACCTTCCAAGGAGTGTTACATAAAAGGCAAGAAACTCAGCCCTGTGATAATTACCCAGCACAAACACGGTCTCCCCGTTCCATTCTCTTGCACTGCACTCTGCAAACCCTCACATGCAAAAAAAAGACAGTTTGAGTCAGTCCTCAAATTCTCCACACTCTGAAGGAAACTCTTCTCCATAATTTTGGCCCAAACATCTTTACCACAGTTAGTGGGTAACAGAAGTTGCTAACAATTGCAGGGTGCATTATCTGCTCCTTGGGTGAGTACCTGGGTGAGAGCAGCACAAGTGTCACCAAACTCTCAGGGTTCATTCATTTTGTCACCAGCTGGGGCAGGGAGAACGCTTTTCATTCCCCAGGAGTGGATAACTGGCCAGCTTTGGCCACTTGGAACAGGCAAGTAGCAAAATAATATATAGGCCATTGAGCTATTCCAGCACCACAATTACTACAGCCTTAAGATTAAACAAAGGCTGAGTGATGAAATACAGAGTAATCTGTAAAACATCTGGTATAATGCTCCATCCAGGCTGCTCTTCCTTTATTGCTACGCTTCTTTCAGCTTCAGACTAATACAAAAGATCTATTTCTGTACATCTTAAACTTACTATGTTTTTGCAGACATATATAAGATTATCCTACCCTTATCCTCGTGGGTGCAACTTTTACAAATGCAAGCTTGTATGTGCATAAAGACAGGAGGGATCTATAATTGTTTAATAAATTACAGTGCATATAGTATTGTTAAATTGAACAGGTCGTTTAAATATCCTGGAAAAAAACCACACACACAAAACCACAGAGGTTTGATTTTATTTGCTTTTAAAGATATGTAGCTTGGGCTACTCATAGAATTCTTTATCTTCCTGGCTAATGAGGTGTCAACAAGTGAGTTAACTTCTGGTTGCTTCTATCTTATATAAGACAGAAAAGAAAGGGAGGTGTTGGCTTAAAATAGTCTTGAAACATTATTCATTTTGTCTATTTTAACATGGGCTGGAAAAACACTAATATTCAAGCCAGCAAGAAAATCTACTAAGAATTACCATGGTGATTTCTGATGTCATGTAGGATATATGCTTTACTCCAGTTTATGTTAAAATATATTAATGCTTTGCCTTATTATTTTCACCCAAAACTTAATGGCATTTGGCCCAAAGTCATTGCCACTGAACTGAGGTGAAACTAGTACTGATTGCCCCTTTTTCTCAACAATTGTCTTTAAGAACTGGTGGCCATAATGATTCTTCTTGGGGCATTTAGGAGGGAGAAAAGGAGTTTTTTTGGTCAGCCTGGTCAGAGACAAGCAAGTACTTTGTGTCTGATGGCTCAGGCAGTACTTTGGATTAATGCTATCATATCTCTTTCCCCTTAAACTAATTTTTAAGGGACAGTTCTCAGCAGCCTGCAGCACTGAAATAAAGCACTAGGACTTGGAAGCTTTGTGTGCACAACCGTGGTTCCCAGAGAGTTGCCTGGGAATCTCTTGCCATCTGCTGGAAACGTGCAGATGTACATCCTTGGAGGAATTCAGCCTCCTAAGTTCCTGCCAGAGCCAGGGGTGCCAGGAAATAATGAAGAGTGGCTGGAAAGCAGCACCAGGGGTGTTCCTCACTTTTAGTCAAAACCACAATTCCAGAACGAGCTAACTCAGGCTCCCAGCAGCTGAAATACCAGCAGCAGATTCCTGATGATTAAGGTGATTCCTTAATAAATCACCTTCTCCACTGGCATGATAAATCTGTGCCATGATTGGGTGCTGAGGCTGAATGCAGAACTATAGACTTATTTTCAGAACAGAACTGGAATATTTGAAAAAAAACCCTCTTTTTTTTTTAAGCTTTCTCTTTCTCAAACACATCAGTTCACTTCATAGTCTGCTCTTCAGAATAAAAGATCTGATCTCAAGAGATAACAATAATAATAATTCTTAAATGAACTAAAATTTTAGATGCAGCAAATATCTAATTTAAACCTGGAATAAAATTAAATTACCTGTAGGAGCCTGTCAGCTCTTCAAATGTAGGTGTAGTAGGCAGCAACACCACAACTTTTCATTAAGGTGAGGATGGCTCAGTAGAAAACAAAAGTGCAATGCCTGCCATCTGGGAAAAAAAAAAAGGGAAAACAAAAAGCTTAGGAATACACTCAGGATTTACAGCTTGTTGTGTTTTCAGACCAGTTACAACCTTGTCAGCTGATGCACAGAGCAAAGCCAACAACCTCTCCAAAAAACACCATCTGCCCAGAAGTGAGAAGCATCTATTAGGAAATTCAACTGTTTAAACAATTTTGTAACATAAGAAAATACAAACCAACCCAAAATAAGACTTCTAAAATAACAGCATGAGTACTAAGAGAACAACTACAAAATATCTCTGCAAGATGTAAAAATATTATGGTTCAGATTTTCATCCAGCCCTGAAAATGCACCTAAGCTTTTCTCCTTGGTAAGTTGTGCTGGAAAAAACCCAACAAACAGAACAACCAGGAATAAACCCCACAAAACCTCAAATCACAGTTCTGAAGAACCTTTTATCTCCCAGTCCAACAGCTCAAGGAGCTGGAGATCAAAGTGTAGCTTGACCTGAAAGAATTATGTTTATAGACATATCTTACATAATATTCTCCATTTTAAGCAGAGAAATTTGGAACACATGAAGATTTAAGGGCCAACTTTGAAACCATATTGACAGTTCCCACTAAGATAAAATTAGCAGAGGCTACACAAATAATTCAGATTGAAGACTGATAAATGAAACCATTTGGTGCATTTCCCTGGTGTCAGAGAAAACGTCTAGACTGATGGGAATTAATTTTCCCACTTTACTTCTATTTAAAATAATGTCAACTATTATTTATTTGTGTTTTGGAACCGACTGCAGAAACAGCAAAAGGAGGTTCAGAGCTACAGTGCTGCAAACTCAACACAAACACACCCAAAAGCCCAGAGAGATACTGAGAAAGTGCTAAATGGGGCCTGAAAAGAACTTGAGACTAAGGATTGAACTTTTTCCCATTTCAAAATACCAATTCTGACAGCTCAGCTCCAGGTAGCCAAAAGAAATCTAATAGTTGTGACTCCTTCTTTTGGTTTATTTTTCAAATGTGGTGGGTTGTGTTGCCCAAAGGTGGATATGAACAGATCGAGAAAGGCCCCAAAGAAAACCTTTCTCTTGGATGGCTTGTTTGCCTGGAAAAGTTTTAAATTACACAAGGAAATCAGGGCAGGGTAAGCAGCATTTCCACTAGAGGACTCTCTGAGTTCACCATCCCAGCCTTCAGCGGAGGAAAAGGCAAAGCTCTGATCTCCTGCACACGGGAGATGTTCCTGCTTCAGTCACAGAGGAGTCACGGTTTGGAAATGAAAGATCAAAGGAGCTTTAGGGAAAAACACCCAAACCCAGCTTTCCAAAGCGAAGGGCATTAACCACCTCACAGACTGGCTCTTGTGAGACCGTGGTTACTCCAACAGCACCGACATAACTCTGCTGTTTTTCTCTCTCCCTCTGCTCTGGCCACTCTAATACTGTTATTTTATTACCTCTTTATGATAACTTTGGCTGTGGTTTCCCTGTTCCCACCACTGGCAGGTGCTGGATGGGCGTTCACAGGGCATCCCACTGCTGGGCTTCTGGGAGACCTCCGGGGAAGCAGCTCTGACAGCCTGGGGGGGGCACACAGGGCCTGTCCCCTCACACCTCTCACCTGTCCCCTCAGCACTGTCCCCCCATCTGTCACCTGTCCCCTCAGTGCTGTCCCCCTGATCTGTCACCTGTCCCCTCACACCTCTCACCTGTCC